CCCAAATGTCCATCATCGGATGAGTGGATACGGAAAATGTGGTATATATACACAATGGAATATTACTCAGCTATAAAAACGAATGAAATACTGCCATTTGCAACAACATGGATCAATCAACATTGATATATGTTGATTTATATATATATATAGCTTCTCCTCCCTGTTCTGTTGGGCTAAAAGGAGGGGACAGTCCCTCTGGCATAGCATGACAGTACAAGCATGTAAGACATCAATACCAACTATATATTCAGCAGTGCAAGCCACACACAGTATATTGAATCAGCCCTCCCCAAAAAGTCACTGAACTTCACTTCCCCACTGTGAGTCTTGCCCATATCCTGTCAGTTGAGTTCAGCGTTTTTCCCCACTCTGGGAACACCAACCATGGAGCGTCATATGTGCCTGACTCAGGCCTACAGCAACAAGTGCCAGGAGATTACTCTATCTCCTGCTGGGAGCGCGAGGAGAGCAAGCAGTACGGGAGGGACAGTGGGAAGGGAAAGGATGGCAGGGGCAGCAGGCAGGCCTTTTTCCTTCTGTCCCTTACTCCACGGCAGGTCAGTACATGAGCACCCACTCTACTTCCTCTGCCTGTACCCACAGGGGTCCACCTAGTGTCCTGGCCTATGGATCTGTTCTTCCTGCCTCGTGCACACTGCCATGCTCTGCCCTGACGTCCTATGCCTTCAGCTACTCCTCCACCCAGAGCCTCATCCTCACCGCCCTGCTGTATGTGGGCATCATGCTATTAGGTGCAGCACTGCGTTCACTGTTGCTCTGAAAGCCACCCACGAGACTCATCAATGAATTTCTTTTTTTTCTTTTTAAAAAGATGACCGGTAAGGGGATCTTAAGCTTTGACTTGGTGTTGTCAGCACCACGCTCTCCCAAGTGAGCTAACCGGCCATCCCTATATAGGGATCTGAACCCATGGCCCTGGTGTTATCAGCACCACACTCTCCCCCAAGTGAGCCACAGGCCGGCCCTATCAAATGAATTTCTGATGTTTGCAGTCCACTCCAAGGTCTATATTGGATAGAAAAGCCCTCACTGCTGATACCCTTTATTTCAGGTTT